TTTTTTTTTTTTTTTTTTAATTTAAAGAAAGGTATTTTGCTTGCAGGAAAAAAAACTACAGATTCATTTTAATGAGAATCTTTGAACTGTATTTATCTTTAGGACATCTGGGCATCTTTATGCTGTTTGTCTTCTGTCTTTCTTGAAATAAAATGTACATAACGTTACCTTTACATATGCTCTTGCTCAAAATTGTGAACCTAGTTACATTTCTCCATGCTCCCTTCCCTTTAATGCTCAAACAAGCAAACCCCAAAACCTATACAAGATCTGAACTTTCAGTGTGCATTATAATTGCTGAAAGTTTTTTTGATTAAATAAATAACAATTTCAAAGGGCTTTCCCATAACTTAAAGGGAAAAATAAGCACCTATACCACTGTGCCTGTGAGCACTTTAACAATAAACACCAACTTTTAAATGAATACTTTATTATGGTAAAGCTGTTTTCAGCCCCATGCTAGGAGAGTTAAAGTCAACTGACAAATGAACCAAAACAATAAGCTTCGGGAAAGAGAGAAACTAAGGGAAATTTTATATGGCCCAAGAACATTAGACAACAATTTAATATTTTTTCTTCAGTATTTTATTTGGGTCATTTTTAATTTGTTATCAATTCAGAACTTTAAAGAGAGACCATTTATCCAGCTCCCCTCGACCTATTTAATGTTTTATCTTCCATTACCCTTTCTTTTCTTTATTGGTATATGTTGTCTTAAACACTTCCATGTAGTGAAATGAAAGTGTCTATGTTATGAATTGAGATGTGCCCAGCCCTCCAGCTCACACAGGAAACGTGACCCTTAAAGACTGACTGTAGTAAATGCGAGAGAGATTCATGAGACCTGACGAGACAGACCCAGCAGAAGTGACCTATGTACACATGACAGCTCTGACGTACATACTAAAATTGTGATACTTCCAGTGATAAATGTCTGACTTTTAAGACATTCTTTTAAATATTTGTATCATTATTAGAGATGATGTTTTAATCAATCGTGTTTTTTAATTCCATGTAACATATGTAGCCCTGACCAGATTTATATCACAATATTTCTCCTTGGGTCCTAAAAAAGAGTTGATGACAATTCGTAACCATAAATTGTTTTATATTAGCTAGTATATGTGTATTTATTTACCTGATGGCTTTATCTGTTTCCCAAAATTTGTTTGGGATTGTTGAAAGCATTGTAACTTCTATAAATGGCTATTTTCTTGTAACTGTCAGTGAAATGAATATGTACGTTGTTTGTTTTTTTATATTTCTCTGGGGTTTTTGTTTTTGTTTTAGGGTTAAACATAGAATGTTTTTTAAAAAAGCAAAAGTTATCTTTGGCCAATGACTTTTCCAGCTAGATAGAACTTTCATTCAGCCTTCTACAGAAGTTCATTTTTCATTATTTTGTTTGGTCAACTTGCCTGAAAACAGAGAGACTTCATCTCATCAGTGAAGAAAGCATTTCATTATTCCTACAAATCTTTACAGCGAGCACGGAATTCTTCGTAAGGACCAGAACTCGTCCATGTCTCTGTCAATCACATAAAGGACACTGAAGCCTTCGTTAATTGTACTAATATGATGGTGTTATATATACATCATTAGCTAGTTAAGGTTTTCTGACCTGACTTCTCTTTGTCTTCCTAGGTATTTATTTGTTAGTTATCTCTTAATCTTGTATATCTAAATTAACTTAGTTAATAGTTACCCACCGAATAACTATGCCAAGCAACTAGGAAAGAATGTTTATTTTATTTCCCCTTATAGGGGAAGAGTGGACTGGGAACAAAAATGTATGGGCCAAAAGGCCTTAGGCTGTCATTCATTTACTTTCTTATTCCTCTCATGAGCTATATTTGAGTATATAGTATTTTTTCAGTGCTGATATGCTTGATTATGTCATTACTTTTCATGTCTTCCCCTGAGTTGAAAGCCTGCTAGGAACCTGTATAAAATACATTTTAAAAATTCAGAATAAGAGCCACAAAACTCAGTATCTTGTATTTAATGCTACTTAAATTATTATTGGAATCCAAGTATCACTAACTAGGATACATTTTTATAAAATGTTTCTCTGTATCTTGAATTGAAATTACTTGCCCAGAGGCAAGAGTTCTGGGGATATAACGCGTTTTGGGATCTTTTTTAAGAAGGGGATAAGAGCAACAAGTTTATACTAGTTAGTTTAGGTGTATGATTTTAATATTAGTATTTTTCATCAGTGGTTCCCAAACCTGACTGTGTATTAGAATTACTGAGGCCCACCACGTGGAAAATTATTTCACTGAGTCAAGAGTGAGGCCTGGGAGTTCAGGTGATTCTGAGAGCCAGGTCTGGGAAATCACTGTTTTAAGTAATGTGACAGTGGCTTGAGAGTAGGCAACAAAATAAAAGTTTACCAGACATCTGTTTGTGGTAGAGTTTTGTTCTTCTTCTCTTTTTTTAAAAACGGGCCAGATTTCACAGAACCTATTCAAGATACATGGAGGAATAATAAAGAAGATTGAGGCTACTGCTCACTATCACGTTTGTCTTTTGTATTTTTTAAGATTTTGCGTTTCTAGCACTTGGAATAGCTGATCATATCCACAGCTGAAGGACATGTCCCTGAATGAAACCATTATATATATTAACTGTAAAATATTTCACTATTTTTTTATTTTATAAATCTTTGTAGAAATAAGCAATGAAATACTACTTTCATCTTTTGAAATGGGATTTTTCAAGGCAGTGTCCTTTTGGCATTAAGGTAGGGGGGAATTCATATTCCCTCTGCCTGTTTCCACATAAATCAATACAAAGTCATGGACATTTAAAAATCTCCATTTAATTTCTACTTATTTACTATGCAGTATAGCCGTGAACAAGTAATGTAGATTTAGTTTTCTCATCTTTTAAATGCCCTGATCACCCTACCTCACAGGGTTGTTGTGGGGATAAATAAAACTTTTATGGAAGCATTTTTCTTTGATGATACTTTATCAGCATTTGTAAGTGCTTTTTGTTTACATAATTTTTTTTTTACAATGTTTTCCTTTTGATGTTGATCTTCAGGGTAAACCTGTAAGGAACACAGAGTAGGTACAGATAAGGGACAACATAAGTAAACAGACTCAGGGCTGACCCAAAAGGACACAGCTGTTGGGGAGAGGGGAGCTTGAATCCAGGTAGGCCTTGCAGCATATTTCCTAGTGCCTGAACATTTCTTTGATAATTATGTTTGTACATGAATACAAAGCTTTCTAAAGTTGATAAATCAATTTGATGAGCTTATAGCATGTTCTTACGAAATGTAAGAGGTATAGAAACTAAGTGCAACAATTCATGGTACAAACTAGGCCTATAGGTAATGATCCAGTTGTTATACTAGAAGAAAATTCCAACTACTAAGTGTATTTCTTTTACAGATAAGGAAATGAGTCTAGCAAAGTGTCTTCCAAAATCACAGAATTAGAGCTGGGACTAGAATCTAAAACCAAAAAAACCCCAAACCCACTGCTGTCAAGTCGATTCCCACTCATAGGGCCCTATGGGACAGGGTCGAACTGCCCCACAGGGTTTCCAAGGCTGTAAATCTGTCTCCCAAGAAGCAGCGGGTGGGTTTGAAGCACCAACCTTTCAGTTAGCAGCCAAGCACTTCAACCACTGTACAACCAAGGCTCCTTTCTCTTAATTATCATTACTCAAATGACTTAGAAGGGAGGACATTCTTAATTTCTGGAACTACAGTGAGCAGAAGGGAAATGAAACACTTCAGGAAACCAACCTGAATAAAGAGTTGGTTTTGAAAACTATAGATGGCAAGAACAGAACCAGATTGCGGTGGGCCAAAATGAGGAATTTATAGTTGATTAATGAATGGGCCAGTGTAGCAATAAAATCGCACTCTGGTCCCACCTTGAGCTCAGTGAATCTGATGAGACTTCTGGTAACTTTTTCCTAAGCTCCAAAAGGAATTTGGTGCGCAGATTTGAGAGTCACTGCAGTGGAAATAATTCGAAATAAATGAGCTTCTGGTGGATAGTTAATTTGTGCACATGGTCAATGAAACAAGCATGAAGTTCAGAATCAAAAGACCTAAATTTAAGTCTCAACTCCCACTTACTAGGCCAGGCAGTTGTTCTCTAAGCCTCAATTTGTACATGAGTAAAACAGGTGCACTCAGATAAACCTTTCAGAATTACAAGGATCCAACAAAACATGTCCAAGCATGTTATAAACTGTAAAGCAATATGTGAATAACAGAATAAGGATGTTAATGCAGCTAGTTCTGGGAAGGAGAGTGAGCAAGAGAAATGAGAAGAACTATACACAGGGTTTTAGAGGATGTCTGAAACCAGAAAGCGAGCAGTAGTCAGGATACTGTCCTATCACATCAGGGAGTGTTTTTTAAGAAAGACGAGCAGTGGTAGTACTGTGCATTAAAACAAATGAAGACTGGGGAGATGATACGGAGAGGTCACCCATGACTGTTGAGAACCTATTCAGTGCAATAAATTGGGGGGTAAGGAAGACATTGGTGATGAGGAAATTGAAGAGTAATGAATGGTTTGAGAAGTTGCAAGTTAGGAGAAATATGGCAGAAAAGCTTAAAATAGTGATGGTAATAAAAAATCGCTTAGGAATAGATGAACCAAATGAGCTTATAGTGACTACCATATAGTAAACTTGGATGTGGTATGTGATGTAATGACAGTAAAAGTTACTTTACAACACTGTCTTACTATATGTTAGATACTACACCAGGCTTTGCGAATGGCAGACAAAAGCAAAACTGACCTGGCCCTCAAGCTTACAGTCTAGCAATGGAGATTGACATTATTGTTGGAAACAGGGTCAGAAAGGGGAAGTAAATGGCTAACAACACAATCTGGAGGCCCT